TGGCTCATGCCTGTAATCCCAGCACTTTGGGAGGCCGAGGCAGGTGGATCACCTGAGGTCAGGAGTTTGAGACCAGCCTGGCCAATATGGTGAAAACCCATCTCTTTGTGGTGGATACCTGTCATCCCTGTAATCCCAGTTACTTGGTAGGCTGAGGCAGAAGAATCGCTTGAACCTGGGAGGTAGAGGTTGCAGTGAGCAGGGATCGCGCCATTGCACTCCAGCCTGGGCAACAAGAGTTAAACTCCATCTCAAAAAATTTTTTAAAAATTAATTTTTAAAAAAAGTGGAATGCCGCATGCTGGCTTTCGGAAGGCTCTTCCCACCCAAGTCATGAGGAAGGGAGAAGAGGATTGCTGAGGAGACACGAGGAAGCTTGTGCTGGAGAGAGATGATCTCCACCGCCGTGGCCTACCCGCATCAACCCTTCACAATGCTGGTGCTAGCTCTGGTGGCCACGACCAACAAGCACTAATATAAGGGAGAGGCGGCCGAGTGGCGTGCCCTGTGGACCAATCAGAGAGTAGGGGGCCCTCACGCCACCTGAGGCCAGCCAATGAAAACGCGGCAAGCTCTATAAAAGCGGGCAATCAGCTGAGGTCTGGTCAGAGGACACAGCAGAGACAACAGTTTCAAATTCATGGCCCGAACCAAGCAGACTGCGCGCAAGTCGACGGGTGGCAAGGCGCCACGCAAGCAGCTGGCCACTAAGGTGGCTCGCAAGAGCGCACCCGCCACTGGCGGCGTGAAGAAGCCGCACCGCTACCGACCTGGCACGGTGGCGCTTCGCGAGATCCACCGCTACCAGAAGTCCACTGAGCTGCTAATCCGCAAGCTGCCCTTCCAGCGGCTGGTGCGGGAGATCGCTCAGGACTTTAAGACCGACCTGCGCTTCCAGAGCTCGGCTGTGATGGTGCTGCAGGAGGCGTGCGAGTCTTACCTGGTTGGGCTGTTCGAGGACACCAACCTGTGTGCCATCCACGCCAAACGGGTCACCATCATGCCCAAGGACATCCAGCTGGCACGCCGTATCCGTGGGGAGCAGGCCTAGGAGGGCCATCTCGCCACCTGAGAGGTTGCGCAACGTTCACCCCAAAGGCTCTTTTAAGAGCCACCCACCTGGTCGGAAGAGTTGCTGTAGCAAGCCAGGCTCTTGGGTTTTGGGGGTTCCTTCCGCTGGCCGGTGCTGGCTTACCTAATTCTGATTAGGGTGGGAGGCTGGCGAATCCTGTGTTCACCCTGTCCAGTTAGGAGGCCAGCTACTCATGCGCGTTACCTCCCAGCCTGTCTCCAGTTACAAGTCCAGCTAGTCGTGTGTGGTGCTAACTTGGTCTATCCCTTTAGATAAGAATCATGGTTGGTCTGTTTGGGGACCGGGTGTTGAGGGTAGCGGAACTGGCCTATCTCCAGTTAGGTAAGCAACCCCAGCTAGTTGTGTCAACTCAGCCTATCTACAGTTAGGTTGGAAGGCTGGCTGGTCTTGTGTGTTCTCAGCTCAGCCTCTTTCAAATTGTTACAAGTCCTGCGTGTGTGTGTGTGTGTGTGTGTACACACAGCTTATTTCCAGTGAGGTTACCAGTCCAGCTAGTCTTCTACCTAGACAGCCTGTTAAGGCCAGCAAGTAGTATGTGTTATCTTGGCCTATTTTCAGTTAGAAGTCCAGCTACTTCACCAGCGTGGCAGCTCAGGTCTGTAATCCCAGCACTTTGGGAGGCCAAGGCGGGTGGATCACCTGAGGTCAGGAGTTCCAGACCTGCCTGGCCAACATGGTGAAACCCCATCTCTACTAAAAAGACAAAAATTAGCCAGGTGTGGTGGCACATGCCCGTAATCCCAGCTACTTGGGAGGCTGAGGCAGGAGAACTGCTTGAACCCAGGAGACAGACGTTGCAGTGAGCCAAGATCATGCCACTGCACTCCAGCATGGGCAACAGAGCGAGACTCAGTCTCAAAACAAAAAAAAAAACAAAAAACAAAACCAAAGTCCAGCTACTTGTGTGTGTTAACTCAGCCTACCTCCTGTTAATTTAGAAAGCTGGCTAGTTGTATATCTTGTTAACTTGGGCTATCTCCCATTAGGTTAGAAGGCTGGCTAGGGGTGTGTGTGTGTGTATGTGCACACGTGCACGTGTGCCCATGTGCACACACATATGTAGCTGTGATGTTGGCCCATCTCCAGTTAGAAGTCCACGTCATTGTATGTGTTAACATACCCAATCTCCCATTCAGCTAAAAGGCTGCCTAGTCATGTATGTTGTTAATTCACCCTATCTTCTGTTAGGGTAGATGACTAGCTAGTTGTGTGTGAGAAGCGCAGCCAGGCATGTGCATTGTTAATTCAGCCTAAGTGAAATCAATACTGGGAAACCCCAGCCTAAAGTTCAAAGAGGGCACTCTGCCCTGGAAGTCAGCTTACTGAGCAGTCGCAGACAGGGGTGGCCCATGTGCCCGGCACTTTGAAACAGGCTTCCCAGCGCCACAAAGTAGTCTGGCAGTGCTCTGGGGATGAGAGACACAGAGACCAACTTGCTGAGAAATCCTACAGCTAGAGCAGCAGGCCACAGATCCAATAGTAGACTTATGTCGGGAAAACCTGAGGATGGCTGTGAGGATAAGGATGTAGGGATTGTCTCCCTCTGGTACAGGTTGGAATCATTTATTTGTTAAAGGCTTTATTAAACTGAATGAGGCCAAGCACTACCCCACGCTGGGATCATGGAGGGAATAAAATCCATTTCCTGTGGGAATAAAATCCAATCCCAGAGTGGGCTGCTGCCCACTCTGCTTTCAAGGTGCTTATGCTTGAGTGAAGGGGGCCTGTATTGTGTGTAGAAGCAATGACAGTAAAAGATGCTCTTAAACATAGCAAGGGGTGTGCGCAAAACGCTATCAATAGGCAACAGTGGATTTTATAAGTCTCTTTGAACCCAATTTATAGCCTGTAGACTCAAAATTCAAAAGCTTCATCAATTTATTAGTACACACACAACTGAACATCATACCTTTTAAATCTCAGGATATATTTAAACTTATGAGTGCCAAATCCTTGGAGAGCTATCCAGAAAGCCTAGAATATTCAGGGAGAGCTGTGTTCTGGTTTTGAAAGTCAGTTCTGACTTTCAATACTAGACTCTTTTGGGATAAATTTAAGTTTTCCCTTTTTGTTTTGTTTTTTCAGAGACAGGGTCTTGCCATGCTGCCCAGGTTGAAGTGCAGTGGCTATTCACAGACATGAGCATAGTGGCCAGCCTCGAACTCCTGGGCTCAAGCCATCTTCCTGCCTTAGCCTCCCAAGCAGATAAAGTTCAAGTCTTCTATACTTTACAAAGCCCTTGTCCTGATAAAGTCTTGCCCAGTGGTGGAGAGCTAAACCTATGTAACCTTGCTGATGATCTTGCTGGGCAGCCTGGAGGGAGCAGTAATTTGGGCAGCTAGCTACATTTACGTAACTGGATGCAGATAATGCATTCTTGACAGGATCATGATCATGCTTTGCCTTCTGTAGGACACCAAGCCACTTGAGCAGCCCCCTGTCATTCTGGTCTTTGTATGAGAACAGAGTCTAAGTTTGGCAGTGTGGCACATGCCTGTAATCCTAGCTACTGGGGAGGCAAGAGGATGGCTTGAGCCCAGGAGTTTTTGAGGCCAATCTGGGCAACAGACCCTGTCAAAAACAACAACAACAAAACAAAGAACAAAACAAAACAAAAAAACAACAACAAAAAACAAGAGCTTGGTCTTATATGTTCCTTGTTTTCACTGTTTAATGGAGTGGATAGTGCACGAATTGATGCCCTATAAAGATATAACAAGGCAACACAGGGCAATTTGTACGTCAGAACTGACTGCTGAGGACCTAAGGTGAGGAGCTAAGGAAAGAAGTTTAGACACAGGAAGAAAGTAACCGAAGTCTTTCTGGGTTGTGTAAGTGGGTATTTGAGGAAGCCTTTCCAGCCAGGCATGGTGGTTCATGCATGTAATTCCAGCTTTTTGGGAGGCTGAGATGGGAGGATTTCTTGAGGCCAAGGAGTTCAAGACCAGCCTGGACAACATGGCAAGACTCTGTCTCTATAAAAAATATAAAAATTAGCTGGGTATGATGGCATGTGCCTGTGGTCCTAACTACTTAGAAGGCTGAGGTGGGAGGATCGCTTGAGCCCAAGAGTTCCAAGTTACAGTGAGCAGTAAGCAGTGATCACACCACTGCACTCCATTCTGGGCAACAAAGCCAGACCCTTACAATTACAATCAACACCTTTGCTTCTGTATCCTGCGAGTCCTAATGATGTGGGATAGTAACTGAAATGTGGTATCTGTTCACCATGTACTCAACTCTTCGAGAGCATATACACTATGGAGACAGCCTAAGCATGCAGTCTATAAAAGTGGAATGAGTGGTTCTAAATATCCAAAGGTTAAAATTCCAGAAATAAACAACAGAAAGGAGAGTTAGGCATTAAGAGATAGTGCCGCAGACCTTGGTGGATTGAACAAAGGCGGACAAATGTGGGAATAAAGACAAAGACAAAAGAGTGTATTTGGATAAAGGGGTCAGGGGGCTCCTTGCTTCTAGTGAACAAGGGTCCTGAGCTGCTAGAGCCCTTCATATTTATTGAGTAAAGGAGATAGGGAGAAGGGGGTGGTTGTGGTCAGCTGCTTGACTTAGTGCAGGCCTGCATGACTACATTCTTTGAACAGTAGGCTCCAGATGTCCCAGAAGATAACCTCAAGGGGCACAGAGCCAGGGAATGAGGCCCTCAGTGTACCTTCTGGCGGCAGACACAGATGCGAGTTTGCCCACATCCTGCATTCATGATAAACAGTTTGCTGTTTAATCATATAGCTTCCAGTGGAGTGCTGAGTTGGTCACGACCCTCAGATTTTCGGCTCCCAACAAGATAGCAGAATATACCTCCCCAAAATATGCAGATTTGATATAAGAATTATTTTGAGCTGAAGGCACTTGAAGAGCAGTAGGTGTAAGAAGGGCCCTCTGGCCCCTCTTCCTGAAAGCAGGTGATGAACCCTCCATGGGAAAGGTGCTTGCCTCTACCAGGGGGAGAAACAGCATGACTAGGCATGGGGACTGAAGTGCAGTGAAATGTGTACAAACAGGCTTTGTTAAAATAGCTCTTATCACCGGGTAGAGTGGCTTACGCCTGTAATCCCAGCACTTTGGGAGGCCAAGGCAGGCAGATCACCTGAGGTTAGGAGTTCCAGACCAGCCTGGCCAACATAAAACCCCATATCTACTTAAAAAAAAAAAAAAAAAAAATTCAGCTGGGTGTGGTGGTGTGCACCTGTAGTCCCAGCTACTTGGGAGGCTGAGGCAGAAGAATTGCTTGAACCCAGGAGGT